ACCCTGAATAGATTTTGTTTACTTTCAACAGCATGATGGGGCTCATTATACGACCCCTCATTGGTTAAGCTTCCCACGTGAACAGTCCGGGAAACAGTATCCTCAGCCTCAGCCGGTCCTGTTGACCTTCAGTGATGTCACCATGCAGGCATAAGCAATTATCTACAAAACATTACTTCACCATGACATTCATGATATCCAACGGATGAGAAGCAGAAAGAGATATATTCTTAGGGAAGATGACACAGAAACAGCAGCAAGGGCAGAAAACTTCAACAATGTGAATGTTTACATATTAAGGATTTGAAGGGAGAAGGAGAATTTACTCTCTTAAAAACATTGTTTTTATCTGAAAATTAGAAAGGGCATATATTCTACAGAATCCTAATTTAAACATCAGATAATAAATTTAATTTACCATAGATAAGACCAGATACACATTTCAGCTTAAAGCACTGATGAAAGAAATCTGTGGCCATCCAGAGATTGCTAAACTACAATTCCCAACATCCCAAGTTAGTGTGGCCAATGGTGAGAGATGCTGGGGTTGTAGTTCTGCAACATTTGCAGTATTCTAAACTGCATTAAACCAAAATCAAATAAATTACATTATGGTTTGCTGTGATACATGCATCTGCCTCACAAACTGTTCTAGTTCATGCATGCACACTTATGTCAACACAACAAGTATTTATGAATTACTGAAGGGCTATAAGTTCCAAGTTTCTATCTTAATGTGATGGAATGGTGTTATGAAGGCCACGCTCAGGGAGATAAGCGTTTCCCTAGCCCTCAACAGGAGCGTGGGAAGTTTAAGAAGATGAGATTGGCACCACCCTAAGGAATTCACGGTGTTGTGGCTTGCTGGGTTGGGGACTTTGGTTCAGTCTGGGGAGATTTTTTTCTTGAGGTGGGAGGTAATAAACGCAACAGAACTGTATTTGTACTGTCTCATGGAGTTCTTTGGGCTGAACCTGACACTTAAGTATTAACAAGGTTTCTCTGTCTTGACTGTCTTGCAGTAAGAATAACAGCATACTCAACATATTATGAATCCTTCTGCTTACAGCCTTCCTCAATTTGTAGTCTATGGCATCCAGAGGTCATCAGGTTGGGAAGTTTAGCCTACGTACAGGTCACAGGGTAGCATTAGCAGAAGGTCTGATGAAGTCTGATGTGATACCTGAAGGGGAACAACTACTTCCCCAAGGCATGCAGTTAAGTACAAATATTTCTATTTCCCCACTACATGGGTTGTTACTGAAAAATCCCTAGTTTTGTCATGAAAACAAGCAGAATTGGTAAGAGGTCCACAAGGAGGCTATGAAAACATCATCTGGCCTCAAGCCAATAAAACCTTATGACAAATCAGTGGCTGAGAGCTTCTGAGCTGCAGTCTAGAATGTACAGGAAGCCTTGGTCATCAAAAGACTGACTTGTGATTTTACAGATCAGACTGTTTGACCTCAGTGGTTTAGATTTCCTTTCTTTTGCAAGACAACTAATTTCAAGCTTTTAAACTTACAATATACTTTCCTTAGTAGCAGAATTATTCATGTCAAATTATCTGTTATTATACATGCAACTCCTAGGACCTTAGGATATGCTATAAATATGTAAGTACTCATCAGTTTATCCTCCCAAATCTTCAAAATATTTCTTTTACACCTCTCATGTATTAATAAAACATAAAAGGGAAATTATAAAATTGGCTCTGGCTTAGTGGTGAAATGGTTCATAATTCTCTGGTTCATCTTTCTGCCCTGGGTTCTGTGGGGGTGTATTATACAAGCAATATTTTCTCAAGTTTAGATCTCTGCCTGTTCCCATCTGTAATGCAGAATTAATTAGTCTGATTTATTTTACAGGTATGTGGTAACTGCTTCAGAATTCAAAGACTTGGACCACAAAGATAAAGTACTATACAGAATGCTACAACATGGCTATTGGCCATGCTACCTGGGAATTGTCCCAATACATCCAGAGGACATGATGCTGAAGAGGACTGCCCAGTGGGATATCCATCTATATTACTTCACACATCTCCAAATATTACATCCTCAAACACCGACCAAAAAACCTTTACAGTTTATGACACAACATTGAATAAGATGATTGATTTATCAGTGTTGGTAATGCTCTGGCTAGCAGCACCTGTGATTTTGACTTTCAAAATCCTTCATAGCTTTGGGCTACCGTATCAGAAGGACTGCCTCTTTACATACGTGGCTAATCAACTACTAGAATTGGGGTTATAGCTTCTCATAAACAGGCTTTTTCAGTGGTAGCCTTCCAACTGTGGAACGTCTCAACTGTACAGAGTCTACCAAATACCTACTTTGTAGGACTATTTCAGTCTAGATTTTAAAAGTAAAACTTAGAATAATCTATCACCCAGCTGGGTTTATTTTTTCAGCCCTTTGGAGACATTTATCACATTTAATATATAATTTTTATTTTATTGCATTCTACAGATCTTATTAGAATTTGTTAGCCTGTCTTGTGTCCGTTGGTTATGTGATGTTTATAGGATGGAAAAAAAAAAAACAAAAAAACCCCCCAAATATTGTCTGATTATTATTCAAATTCTTTTTACCTGGTGATTCTCAGCCTGAAAGTTAGTCACTGCAGCAAAACAAAACTTGCAGCATCTTTAAGACTAAGAGATTTATTATAGCATTAACTTTCCCCCCTCATTATACGCCATAATGACAAAGTAAAATAAAGATGTCCTCCAGTCAAGCTTAATTCCTTGTCTCTACATGGACATGTCAGAGGAATTTTCTTGGCAAAAATACATTGCCTTCTTCCAGGATGTTCTTTGTTTTTATTTCCCAGTATGCTTACAGCCTTAAAATTCTTTGTATTCTCCCATTAAAGTATTAACCAGATCCAAACCTGCTTAGTTTCAGAACCCAGAGAAGATCAGCCAGGTGCTCCCACCTGCTGAGATATATCACAATAAAAGTCTTCATTTTTAAGATGCCACAGGAGTCTTTGTTTTTTATGCCTGCTACCAAGTATGCCAGCTACCCAACATGAAATCCTAAATCAATAGCTATTGCAGCTATAAGCATTTCAGATAGATATTCCACTATTGTGTGGTATTGCTTTCTTGAGCCACTAGGTCCCTAAGAGCATCAAAAACAAATACAAATCCAGCACTGCAAATCTCTAATTGTCATTTGGGATGTTTTATGTGGATTAATAAGACTCTGCTGCCATTCTTGTAAAAAAGGAGGGAATCTGAAAGGTTTGATATAATTCTAATGGACTTTCTAATTAATGACTGGGTTCTTGCAATTTTCCCAAAGGCCCTGCTATTTTTTTAGATGTTTAATTAATGCTTTGGCTGTTAAAACAAAGCATTTGCAGTAAGAACTGCTCTAGAGAAAGGTTGACAGTATGATTGTAACATGTGCTAAAGAACTTTAAATAACAGATTAAATTACCCTATTAATATTTTCATTGCTACTGAGCTACTAGCCAAATGCCCAGTTCTATATATGTTATATTTTGATTCTTTTTGTCTTTAAGAATAACATCTTATTACCCAAACCATATATTGTCGCAATTCATGTATTAGACCCTCATATAAATCTTTGAAGTCCTGCTGCCAGCATAAAAATTCTGATTACAGGCCTGATTCTGTGTATTCAAACGTTCTCAAACTATTTACAGAAAGTCCAATGAATTAATTTGCACACAGCACATAAGCCTGCACTTCAGGAGATGATGATGGCCCTAACTTAAATGGCTTTAAAAAGGAGTATGTTTCTCAATGTTTACTTGACATTGAACTAGAAGCAGCTTGCCTCTTAGTACCAATCTATGAGTGAAATATGAGTGAAGAGGACTAAATACTTAAATCCTGCTATTGACTGGCCACTGTGGGACATAAGGTAAAGGTTTCTATTAGCCCTTTCAAAGGTGGTGCTTTTCCAAAGTGTTGGGACTTCAACATTCATACAGCTAGGCTGGCTGAGGAATTATGGAAGTTGGGGATCTAACAGAAATGCACTTGACCCACCCAGATTAGAAAAGGCAGATTAAGACAGATTCTGAATATGATGAGGCAGAATTCTTTTTATGAGTTGTATTTGATGCTACTCAGATGTGCAATTATTAAGGAAGTGAGTCATGGACTGCATAACCAGCTTTCAAGTACATTTTGGCTAAATCTTTTTTGATCCTAGTAGCATCATAACTATGAATGTCTTCATTTAAAGCATTATGGCACAATACTAGATTAATTTACTGAGAGGATATCACTTAGGGGCCCATAGCATTATAATGTAAAAGGAAGTCAAACTGCAAGAATCAATGGCAATTCACCAGTCATTCCAGGAGCTCTGGATGAAAAAGCTGTAGTTGGGATTTATTTATTTTGCTCCCCTTGCCTCCAAGTAGATGCATCCCAGCAAGGGGGAGAGAGACATCCTTCCCTAGTCTCCTGTACTCCCAAATTATTCAGTCATTCCTTGCAAACGTTTTAGTTTAAAGGACTTCTTTCAGGACAGAAAGCAGTGGTCTACAAGAAAGAGACAAGATGCCTTCCTACCATAGTAGATGATGCCATTATTCACCAATCAGAGAAGCAGTTCTGGTTGCCCATTCACCAATGAGAACCAACAGGCAACTCAAAAGTCAGCCCAGGCATTGGGAACCAAAAATGTACAGTGCAAACTGTTAGTTTTCACTGTAAGGCCAGAGTTGGACCATCACATTAACAGAGCTGTTTGCAATGTCTTTTAATTGGAGCTGTGCAGGGAAAACAAGGGGAAGCAGGTTCATTCTGAAAGCTGTAGCAAGACAGCAAATGAGGCGATTAGTACAAGCTGCTGTAGTGAGATTTCTCAACAAACAGAATCTTGAATAATTCAACATGTGCAAGTGAGCATAAAAACAACTAAAGGTTTAGAACACACTCTAAGCTGAACTTATTTTTTTTTCTTCAACACAATCCTTGTCTGGCTCTACTTGATCAGAAAGGTACTTACCTGTCCGGCAGTGTCATATAGACCGAGAAGATATTGCTTGCCCCCAACTGTCACACTGACTGGAAAAAGAAAGAGAGAATGAAGTGGGGAAGGGGGACTGGCACATATGGTCTCTTCTCTCTAGAAGAGGAGAAGCAAAGGAGCAATTTCAATCATTCACCATGGTTCAGTGGCAAATGAGTGGGGGGGGGGAATCAAGCATTGAAAATATAAAACTATACAAACACTACTAGCTTCTCTGATGGCAGGAAAGAGAACAAAAACGCTTTTTCAATGTCACAACATAGTCCAGAAAAGATGCCCCGAGTACATGTGTTTCTTGGCACCCATTAACAAGCATGGCTCACAACAGGGTCAAACTACTCCAACTGATTGCAAAGGGGTGGGGGTGGGGGGTCCTAAAGAAACATTTTCCCTCAAGTTCATAAAGATTTTTGTCACAATATGGCAAAGTCCATCTTACCATGGCTAAAGATCTTTTCTGCTTTCGTAATAACATTTACCACTTTGCTCTCTCTTCCAGGTGGTTTGTCACTGGGGAGGGGCGGGATATTTCTGGTTCACAACAAACTTGAGTACAGTTGAAAGATCCCATCACTTGTCCCACCTGCCGTAACTAACACGTCAAACATAATGCAGAGAGAAGGAAGCCCTCCAAGATGGGGAGAGGGTTTGAGGGGGGACGCCGTAAATAAACCATTTTGAGGGAACTGCCACAAAGTGTCCCGGTAGCAAAAGACGATTCAAACCATTACACATTCCAGCTTGACTTTCCCTAACTCGCTGCCCCCCAGATATGCTCAAACTCGATTGAGAGGGCTACACATCTGGAAGGCTCCCAGTTGGGGAAGGCTGACCCGGGTTTTCGCTGAAGGGCGGCAGATCGAGAGAAATGAGGAAGAGGGGGAGAGAGGAAGACGCGAAGCTGGGGGGAGCAAAGTTTTTGCTGAAGTTCCTGCTTTGCTGCTTTTCCTGCTAAGGGGCGGGAGCGAGCAAGACGGCCGGGGAGAGGCAATAGGGGGGAGGGGGCTACGAGGAAAGGTGGTAGTGAGACACTTACTCAGCACTTGCAAACGAAACACGTTTGTTCGTCCCCCTTACCTGCGTAATGGTCAAAGACTGTGGGCACGTACTCCTCCGGGAACGCGTCGTTGGCATAGCTCATGAGCAGGCAAGTTTTGCCCACCGCTCCGTCGCCGATCACCACGCACTTCAGCATGACTGTCGCCGCCGCCCCCGTCCCGTTGGCCATGATGAGGTTTCCGAGCCGATCGTCATTTTAGAGAGAGGGAGAGCCAAGCGGGAAAAGGCGGCCGGGGGGAGGGGGAGCGAGGACTGGGGCCGTTTACGCGCCGAGCCGGGAAAGGCGACGCGCCTTGGGTGGCATTTCGAGCTCAGCCAGTCCGGAGTTGTGTAGCTTTAGACTGCGCCTGGCAGCCGGGCTTGGCTGGGTCGCCTGTTTCAGCAGGCGCCACAAATCACTGAAGATGGCATTTCTTCTGTCCCTCGCCGTGGTCGAAGTCCTCCTCCTCCTCCTCCTCCTCCTCCGCCAAATTTGGCTGGCAGGGATTTTCCTCCCCTGCTCTCGCCCCAGTGAGGCGCGATGACACAGTCTTTCATAAGACCAGCAGCAGCAGCGCGCCTGGAAGAGGAACTTAGAGCAGCCAAACCCGCACCGAGACGGGCACCACTTTCGTCCAGCTCCTCCTCCTCCTCCTCCTCTTCTTCCCCCTCCTCTTAGAATCCAAACTGCTTCGCGTGTGCCGGGTAAACCCTCCCCCCCCTTCCCTCCGTCCGTCGCTCTCCGAGGGGAGGAGGAAGAGAGGAAGGCCCAGACTTCCTTCCAAAGCGAGGGTGGGAGTGGGACCCCGCTTTACAGTACTTTCCTTCAGATCCCTCCCCCCTCCTCTCCCCTCCCCCCCCCGGCTCC